ATCCTTAGCATCCTTAGCATCCCGGCGCTCCCCCAGCCACGGCCCCGGCCCCGCTCCCACTCGCAGGAGAGGAGGCAATCGCCGAGGCCTCTGAATATGCATGAGGTGCAGGTTGCTCGATAATCACGCCTGAGAAATGTCCAAATATTTACACAAACAAACCTCCACTCAAAGGAACCTTCTGAAAACAGCCCTAATCTCGGCGACGACTTAATGGGGGCCACCTGCACCAGAGGCACCGGCGCTGGCAGGGCTGGCACAGCCCGGTGCCATGGCACGGGGGTGGGAAGTGGGAAGGCAGCCCATCCAGCCGTGTCCAGTCCCCGTTTCCATCCAGCAAAGGGACCAGACCGGGATGCAACAGAAGGAGGTGCCTCCAGGCCAGCTCTGATGGCAGCTCACAGAGACCTCAGGGGTAAGGGCAGCCCTCATTTGGTTTTTCCCTCATTTGGCTTGGGAAAAATCCAAGGGTGGAGGGCGTGGGAGGGAGGGCTCCTCAAAAAGGAGCTCTTACCATGACTGGGAGGGTTCCCATGAACACAGCCAACTTTGCAGGGGGGGAAAAGAGAAGCCTCACACACCTGCCACATTCCACACTTCCCAAATCCCTGCACACACATCAGCCATGTTCATGCTTCCCAAATCCCTGCACACACACCTCCTGTGTTCCACAATTCCCAAATCCCTGCACACACACCTCCTGTGTTCCACAATTCCCAAGTCCCTGCACACACACCTCCCATGTTCCACAATTCCCAAATCCCTGCACACACACCTCCCGTGTTCCATGACATGGGGACACCTGGCAGGTCCTTGACTTACTCCGTTTTGCTTCCTGCAACACAGGCACAGAATCCACAAACCCCTCCCAAAACCTGGGCTCCTTGAGATGATCCAGGGCTGGAATTCCTCAGCAGGACCTGGTGTGTGTCCCCTCTGCACCACAGTGCCACAACCCCCGGGGGGACCAAAAGCATCTCTGAGGCTCAGAGAAGCAAAACTTCCCAGGCACATCCAGGACTGACCCGATCCCAGGAAGTGAGCACAGACCTCTCCCCACACATGAGGTGGTTTTCACGGACAGTCTGAGCCCAGGACCAGAAGAAGGTCCTGGAGTCCCCTCCATTCCCTCTGCCAAACCCCCCCGTGCAGAGGGATGTGACACACGCACAGGTCACACACGTGCAGCACAGCCAGCTGTGCTAACACAGGATCCAGGGCTCTCCTCACACACTTCCCAAGGGGTTTTCCCCCCATCCTGCTCTCTGCACAGCCCTTGTTCCCTGCTTGCTGGGCAGAGGGAAGGGACACAGTCACCTCCTCCCTGCCTTGTCCCTGCTCGGTGCAGGCTGACTCTGCACACTGCAGTGGGATCTCCTCCAGCTCTCCTCGCTCCCTGTGCTCATCCCTGGGCTGGGCAGGGGCAGCTGGGAGGGCTTGGCTCTCCTTCCTCAGCTCCCTTTCCGTGTGCTCACTGTTCCCAACACCCCCTGATTCCAGAGGCCACGCTCAGAGCTGAAGTCTCTTTTACTTCATGGGAGGCAAAATTCGACAGAGAGTAAAACCTTTGACCTGTCTGGATTTGGCAATTTAATTACCCAAGTATCAGAAATCAAAGCTGGATCCCAAGTGCAAGTTTCCTTGAAAAATAAAACCTCCTGTCACTAAAGCTCCCTGGAAAAGCAGCTTTTTTGGGAACCCTGAGCTACCAGGATAGTTCCATACAGAGGAGATCCCAGAGCCACATTTCCACTCCGCAGAGTTTTCTGGAAAGGGTTTAGCAAAGCTCAGGGAAAGTGAATTTTTCCTGATGGTGCAACAGTTGGGAGAGCTGGGCTGCAGGGAATTCCATCCTTTGTCTTTCCTTACCAGGACTGAGTGGTGCCCCCAGGATGGGGAGGAGAGCAGGGACAGACCCCCACAAGGTTCCTGTTGCCACTCAAGCCCTTGGGGACGTCACAGGAGTGGTTCAGACACTGTCACACCAGCACAGCACCTTATTAACAGTGCACAAAGGTCCAGGTCCCCACCACATGCCAAGGGGATTGGAAAGTGGAACGAGCCCTGGATGGCTCTGGGATGCAGCGAGGGAAGGTGTCACCTCTGGGGGTGCAGGAAACCCCCCCAGCTCCGTGCCAGGGCACTTCCAGAGAGTGCTGGAGACCAGGTTCTGGCTCCTCAGAGCAAACACTTTTGGCCAAACCTTGTTTTAAGAACTGTGGGGTCCAAGGCTGTGCCTGTTTCACCAACCAAAGGCCCTTGAGAAGGGTCAAAAAGCTGCCTCAGAGTGGCACCACCTCAGCCCTCAGTCAGAGGACTGGCACTGGAGTGAGGTCTTTGGGGTCCACAGCCCCTCTGCTGTGACAGAGCTGTCACACGTGGTCCTCAAAAGCCAAACCCACGTTCTGTCCACGTTTATTTACAAGAAAAAGATGTCCCACGTAACCTGAGGGCCAGTTCCTGGCAGTTCCAGCCGGTATCAGTTGTCCCAATAGATCCAGGGCAAATTATTTTGACTGGGTTAATCACGTGCCACCTCCCCTCACACGTCATGCATGTTCAGCCGTGCCCACCCTCAGGGAATCATGGAATATCCTGAGCTCTGGATGTGCTGGATGTGCACCCTGGATGTGCTGGAGCTTCCACAGGAAAGCACAGAAATGTCAGCACTTCAGGCCAGGCACACTTCAGGAGCAGAAGGGTCTGGTGAGCAGCGAGTGAGAGGCTGGATCTGCTGCTCATCCCCGGCCAGGCAGGACCTGGCTCAGGTGACAAACGGGAGCTGCCGGACAAAGGGAGCACAGTGTGTGTCTGTACGTGTGTGCCCGAGCTGCAGCAGCCCTGTGCCCACTGCCAGGGTGTGACAAAGGGGGAACACCTCCTCTCCTCCTCAGGACAAGCCGTGGCTGGAGGTTCCAGTGCCGAGCTGCCCCGAGCGCTATTGTCCCTTCCAGTGACCTTGTGTGTGCTCCGGCTGCTGCAGCCACAGCACAGCACAGGAGCCTCTAAAGAATCCACTGACTTGTTTTACAACACAGAGAGAGCCCCTCGGTGCCTCTACAGTTCGCACATCCCCCTCCCGTGGGATGGGGGTGGCCGTGTGCCGATGGATGCTCCGGCTCGGCTCGGCTCCCTCCTGGGCAGGTGTCTGTCCCTGCCCGTCACACACGTCACATCTCCCGGGCTCATCCTGCAGCTGCCACATCCTGGCTGGACCAGCCCATTCCCCATCGCCAGCTGCAGCAGCATTTGGGGAATGTGCCTTATCCAGCCCCCCTGGAATGCCCTGCACGGGGCAGTGCCGCCCTGTCCTGCATCCCTGCCTGACCTTGCAGCCATTCCTCAACATTCCAGACAGCCCAGCACCTCT